TTAAGAGCGCGCGATATTACCGAAGAGAGCAAGTCGTTCGACGAGCGTCATGCGAGCGCGGTAACTGCAAGAACTTCGCAATTTTCGATTTCCAGATGACAAACCAGCTTATTCACGAGTGACTTCTTTTAGATTAAATTCAGCCGAAATTTGTAAGAGGGATACGGTTAAACGATATCGCTGCTTTTTCTCTGTTCCGCGTTTGCAGACGGGCAAATATTTGACGCAGAAACGAGCGGTTTTTCGCAGCACGTCGGTAGCAACCGATAAGGCAAAAGAGCTCGTTTGATCGTCGGTCGGCCATGAACGAGTTTCTCGTTTCACGCGAAGAACCAACTTGAATACGCCTTTTCGAGAATAGATGATCGATATAAACGTATCGAATGAAACGAAGAAAAAAGAGAGAGGTGCAGGCCATCGAGGATAGAGGAAGCGTAACTGTTACGACACTGACCCTGTACAGATGGACCGGCTTAAAACTGTCCTCGTATTTTTCAAGCTTCGTCGTGCCTAACGAAATTCTCCATTACCTCGTCGCGTCGTCGAGGCACCGGGCGTAGTCGCCAGACTCGAGGATATTTCGTTATTGATTTTCAATAGTATATGCACCATGCTATTTTTATTGCTGTGTTCTACAAGATTTGATAATATATCGAGAAACCAACGAGTAGGAACGATGAGTGAGCAAAATGCGAGTTATAGGTTCGTGAGAAAGCGTAAGAAACATTTGTATTTACGACGCAATGCAAATAAAACGATGGTAGGTGGAGAGCCGTGTCAACGCGCCAGACATCGGCAACCAGTTTCCGATTGAAATGCGTATAAAGGGCGAGCTTTTGCGAACCATCAACAACGCGTACTACAGGTGGTAGAGCGTAACGTGTAGGCGTGATATTTCAGCTGCTTCTATATTCTTTCGACTCTCATCTCCAACCAGGTGTATCTCTGCTCCCTTCGAACAAGTTCAACTCAATGATTTCCACCATCTATTCGACGAAATCTACATTCTCCGTTGCTTCTTCCTTGACCATCTTGCTGTTATTCCCACGACTTACGTTTAATTTTACAATTAAGGGAAAACGAAAAGAAGGAAGAAAAGGGAGAACCATGTGAAAAACTCGTGCTTATTTAACACGCTGTTATTGCCGGTGTTCGAATGGCTAACTCGGGCAACAGACGTAGCAAGTGCGTGCTTGCACCGCTGCCATTCACTCGTCTTCTAATACACGCGTCTTCCGTTACGCTCGATATTTTCATTCACCTACGACGAAATCTTATGCCAACTTGAGTTCATCGAGCACACCAACGAGGTGGGGGAAAGGTTGACTGCAACGGGTCAGACTTCTTTCGACTTTTATGCTACTCTACTACTAGCTTCTTCTAGTTTCACGTTCGACCACACACACACACGTACACGCGCACGCGCGCGTCCGCACGCAAAAGTTGTCGATAAAAGGGATAAAATCGCAAACGCTCCTGCCGCATTACGATTTATACAAACCGAATAGTTTCCGTACCAAAACGATCCGCCTCGACAAATCGATCACTAGATTTATGATTCAGATCCTATCAACTAGATTCTATCAAACGTACGAAAAGTTATCGAACCGGACACGTTACTCCTCTCAGACTATCAGCAAAAATCAGATCCGATTATTCTTGAAAAAATCGAGCAAAAAACATCGTGCGCAATTGGTATTTACGTTAGAGGTGGCGTGCGTACATTCGAAGAAACGAAACACAGCGCCAGCTATACAGGATGAACTCGCGCGAGTTTCTGCGTCAGCCGTCTTGGAATAGCGAATGATGTCAAGCTCGCTGCTTCGATTCGGTTCAGCTCGTTCGTTCACGAGTTGGCCGAATACACACGATACTTCGCGATACATTCGCTGAACCGAGAGGATCTTTCGAAACTTTGAAACTCTATAATACCGACTAGTCGAATCGATATATCGACGTTACTGAAACATCATTAGCTACAAGAACAAAAAATAATATGCGACGCTTGCTCGAACGTCTTAGACTCGGGCAACCAATTCGGAGACGTTTGAAAACATGGTAACGTAGGAACGATACGAAAAAGCGAATAGTGCAAACTGCTGCAAGCACACCTATGCTAATAAAAAACCTCTACGATTATATCTTCTTATCGTCAATAACTCGCAAATAACGTCGATATTTTGCGGAAGGATGCTTAACATAAACAATTACGTAAAAATATTTCCGAATGAATAAACAAGCGTGTCACTCGAATAAAACTAATAATTTCATCGAAAGTCTGTCTAGTTGATTCTTTTTAAACAAAAGAAAACACTACTCGATTTAGTCGTTAGCAGTAAAGAGAATGTAGAAAAGTTCAGATGCGATCACTCGTCAAAATGGCAATACGATCGTGAACAACGATTAAAGAGACACGCGACGTTCTTGTCGTATCCAAGATACCTTATTAATCGGTAAAATTCAATTTCCGACCGTACACGATACTCGTACCATACACACTTCCACAAATTTCGATCGCAGCCACAAAGTGTTATACCTATGGTCCGTCCATGGAACCATAAAATCGATAGCTGACTACCCGTTCGATAACGCGTTTAATTACCGTTTTCTCTCATTGACAGTTGTCCTTGATATATAACACTACATGTAACAACACGACCACCGAGACTTTCTTCAACCTCTAACAAGCAAGAACTTGTTTGTTTTTAACCGACTAGTTTTAGCCGTTTAGTTCATAGCGTCACGTTAAAAGAACGAACAATGGTAGATAAGGGTAGCGTTCAGCAAGAACAACCCCCTGATATTGCTCGGTCAAATTCTTGAGCATACCGATCAACAACTCGAGACCGCACGCATACTCGCCAATTTATTATTACTTATAAACTTAGCGCGACAACTATCATTCGAAGCTTTTCTCGCGTTATTTCGGGGTTTTTCATTTCAAATTCGAACTTACAATAGTAGCACGCCAAATTACCGAATTATGGAAAGAAAAAAATAAGAGAAATGATGATCGAACGAAGGGACGGTCAGACTGGAAAAAAGAAGAAGTAGAACATTGACATGAATCGATAGAATTACCGTGCCAACGATGTTTACGACTTTTTCAATAAATTTAGAAATGGAATGGAAAACACCTTGAAATAACAAAATGGCAAACTTATGAAACACACCTATATGATAACGAGCGAGCCTTAATAAGTAAGCTTACGGGAACGAAAATCTGTCGTCGGTACTATCGTCATCGCCATCGTCATTGTTGACCTTGGCAAAAGCAGTAAACTTTACCTCAATTCGAGTTGTTCGATGACCGAGAAAGAGTAAAAGAAAGATGCGAGAAAGGGAATTCACGGTCCTCCACTACGAACAAATGCCTAAGTACCTTCTACTAAAATTGCCGTTCACCAAAAATGAAAGATAATTCGCTATAAGCTAATTGAAGAGAGAAGGTAGAGAATGGCGCGTTACTGCGTCCAATCTTTTTCGTGGAAATACTTTACGGAACTGAATGACGTACTACATATTTTGAGAAAAATGGACGATTATGAACTGCGCGCGTGTTATGTCGGTCAATAATGAGACAGTACATAAATTTATACATAACCTAACGCACGGGAACTAAAATCGAATGTTACTATTGATGGATACCTATATTACGTATATGGACTTGGGTGTTTATCAGGCAAGATGTGTCGACGCAATATCGAAAGCACGATGATCGGTTCACCTGTCAAAGGGCGTGTGCTCGGCACAACGCCTTTACGAAGATGGAAAGCGCGTGTCGTGCTTTAACACGATTTCAAGCGGAAGCAGGCCAAATACATATTGTACGCGAGAGAACAAGCTAAATCTACTACGCAATGTATCTCCGATTTCTCCGAACCATATAAGGGATCAAATATTGCAAGCAAATATTAGTTGTAATATCGATCCAACACTTACGCGGTTAGTTGTCATATCAAGAAATTCCTATGTTCGATGAAAACAACTGCCAATACGTTAACTATCGTGTAGGTATACGGTAGAGCGAGATTTGAAACTAATTATTTTTTCGATTCTTTTTAAGCATAAAATGTATAATTTCATCACCAACTATACAACTAAGATGGCGGCAATTATCTTGTTCGTTAGGGCTGTCGCGTCGCGTGCGTCGCATCCGCTGTGAGCGGCAAGTGACTACCTTCAGACCACCTTTTTATCGTACTGGAATCTAACGAACTTTATTAAAATGATAATTCGTTCGATAAACGAAACGATATGATGACGTATATCAAACGAGAACGAGTCGAAATGAACGATTTCGACTACGAAAATGTAATAAAACGACCAAGTTACAAGTTATTTCGAGCAACTTGTGAAAAAGATCAGGCGACTGCATGGCTACGGGGTCTACACGATCCGCGTTCAATTACACTTCGTATTATTTACGGGCGATATTTTAAAAGACATTGCGTGCAATGACCTCTGCTTCACTTGTACACACGCATATAATTACGTTTGAAAAAAGACTCACCTTTAGAGTGTTACAAACGGCCTAGAAAGTCGAGGCTTCGGCGTATTCAACGGCTCCCGTCCACTACGATCTCACAGAGTGCACTGGCGCAACGAGCGGAAGCCGCCATCTTGAACTGCATTCACTTGACGCTTTCCGTCCGTTCGAAATACACTTCTCTACCATTCCCGCCTTTTCTCAACTCTATCGACAAACTATTAATTCGCTTGTGTGCATTTGACAAAATCAATTATTTTACATTTTTCCAAATATCTTTGCTATTCGTATGCTTCCTTTAAAATTCTGTTCTAATATATACATACGTAGGTACACATTTTCAATTGATTAAATTGTATGCATTTACATTAGCATGATATTACCGAATCAAGAACAGTTTGACATTCTTCTTTACATTTCAAACAATCGGTTACAATCGTTGTTTCAATTAATTTAAAAGTTGTACAATTTTTCTTTTTGCTTGACATATTTGTTTAAAGTTTGAATAATGTAAAAAACTCTATTGGAACTCGCACCCCCTACGTTTATGCGCCATTTTCTTCAAATACACGTACATTTACCGTAAAGAAAGTTCCTGGTTCGCTAAAGTGCTTCGTCGTTCTATAGACCTATCGTTATCAGTGATTTTTAAAATATCTTTGGAAAAAAGATGCCCAAGTCGAAAAGAGATAAGAAAAGTAACGTTACACTATATTATTCGATAGCTTTTATTTACTGTTTTATTACGAATGTATAATTTTCCCAGACTAACCTAAAAATGCCTCACGTGTCTCCGAGTAATTGATAAATTTGTATTTCACAGTATCTCTTACGAAAACAAATAAGAAAGGCCTTGCTTTGAAACAACAAATCGTGGAGGATGTTAGAAGTTGCGTTGAGAAATATGACAGGATATTTCTCCTATCCGTACATAATATGCGCAATAACAAACTTAAAGATTTACGATCGGAATGGAAAGACAGTCGGTTTTTTTTTGGTAAAAACAAGGTGATAGCGCTAGCTTTCGGTAAATTACCGGAAACCGAGGCTGCGGAAGGTCTTCATAAATTATCATTAGCATTAAGAGGACAATGCGGTCTGCTATTTACAAACAGGAGTAAGAAAGAGGTATATATTTCTCTATTAAAATATTAATTGTTGACACGTAGAAAGTTTGTATCTATTTGTTTGTATCTTGTTAAGGTATTGAAATGGATGGAAGAATATGAAGAAATAGATTATGCTAGATCTGGATTTGTTGCTCAAGAAACTATAGTGTTACGTGAAGGGCCAATGCCAGAGTTTTCACATAGTATAGAACCTCATTTCAGACAATTGGGAATGCCCACAGCTTTACAGAAGGGTGTGGTAACATTAATCAAGGACTACATTGTATGTAAAGAAGGTCAAACGTTAAATCCAGAACAAGCGAGGATTTTGGTAAAGATGTTTTTCTATATTTCATGTTACATCTTAAATACAATGAAATAATCGTTTGTTCCTGTTGCAGAAATTACTTGATAAACCATTGGCTACCTTTAAATTTATACCATTAGGTATATTTTCCAAGAAACATGGATATAAAGAACTTATATCTCAACATGATGTTAAAGAAAATATGGAAGAACAAATGGACATAGAGGAAACAGAAAATATTGATAATACATGAGATAGATACAACAGACAAATTTATATATGTAGGTGTTTTCTTCTACCTCCCTTCCTTCCACACATTTACTCATTTGCATGCACACATACACGTACACACAACGATATAGAATTTTACTTTTCAACTTACACATTTTGTTAAAAGAAAAAAAGAAAGAAAAAAAAAAGAAACATATGAACATACCAATTAGACATTTCTGAAACAACTGATGTAAAATAGACATTAACATATTTTTAAAACCTCAAAATTATGAAATCTCCTTTTAACTATTGTCTGTTTATTTAAATCATTTAATGAAACAAAATGATGATGCTACCTCTATATTTTTCTATATTTTGGATTGTTGGAATTGTATGGGTAAATCATAAAATCGTTATGTTAGCCTATGACATGGATATCAAAAAACAACAAAATTTGAATTTAATTTATCTTTAATTGTCTACCTATATAGACGATTTATTATTGGTGCTCCGAGAATCCTTGTAATAATAATCGTAAGATGACTTTTAATGTAAATTCTGATACTAGAAGTAGTACGATATCGATCGATTCTTCGGATGTATCTGACAATGATGAATTTTTGAAACATAATAGAAAGGGATTAAAATATGAGGTGTATATTAACAAATTCAAATATTAAATTTAAAAAAATTTATGTACTAATATTTATAGTATTACGGCTAATTAAGTTGATTCGTTATGTATTTCATTATTGATTACAGACTAAAACGCGTTGGCCAAGCAGAACTTCGATAAATGAAATGTAATGTGGACATGCAGAATTTCTATCATTGACGACGTCCTTCCATTAATGTAATTTGGCTGTGAAAAGAATAAACCTATAAAACTTGAACTATTTAACAAAACGATTAGTTTTTTATTACTTTGTTATTTATTTATTTTAAAAGCTACAAGATATATATCATTGTTACATATGTATTTATGTTTAGTTGCAGAATACTGAGCAATATCAAATAAATTACATGGGAACTTTGAAATTACATAATACGAGACACATCACAAAACATGTGACAAAATCTACTGAATTTTATAACCTATTTGAAAGAATTAGATCATTATGTGATGATATTATATTAACTATAACGATAAAAATAACGTAATATGCAAATATATAGCAACATACATTAATATGGCATATTCTATAAAACAAGATATTTTATCCAATGAGTAGCAGTATCCTATAAAATTTTATTCATTACGTAGAAACAGGATCTAGTGTAAAATTGCTTTTATTTTATAAGTATTCGCGTCTAGTTAAGCAATATTCATATTAGTTGCAGGAATAAGCATTCGAAATTTAATTTTGTAATTAAATTATTGCTAGGGAATGCTTTTAATAACTAATAATTTATGTATATTCATTGAGTATGAATTCAAACATAACTTCTAACTTTTTTTATGTTTATTATAAATATTATGTAATACCTATGAGACATTATGTATATTTGATATTATGTATATTTATGACAAAAAACATACACACAAGTAATGATAAAATAAAATTGATAGAAAATCATAAATTTAAAATAAAATTTAAATTTATTTGTACTCTCTAAAAGTAAATAAGCTCAAGAGAAGCAATAAAATAATACCAAAAATTAAATACATTTGATTTCGTATATATATATATATCATACCAAAATAATAACATAGTAACAAAATAGTAATAATAATAAACTTAATAACAATCAATATACATTGCTTTGCTATTACAAAGTGATAGCAAACTTATGATAAAGACTTGTAAATGGTACAGAAAAAATATTGTCATTTCCTGTATTACATTTTTCTTATAGTTCATTCTCCTTTTTTCGTGTTTCCTTCCTTTTTTTTCTGAGGAATAGTTCATAATCAACCAGGAAATGTTTTTGCGTTAAACTAAATGTCATTAAAATACAATACTGCACCGTCAAGTAATTTGCATCTACTAGCACTATCATTGTGTGGTTAGCGTCAGGATATCGATCTTCTTTACTATAACTGTTTCAAATAATATATATCTAACATCATATTCTAATAGTACACATTTAAAATACGAAATATATTCTAAACTGAAAATATTTTCGGTTCTATTTTCTTTGGTGGAACGCAATTATATTCTTGCATGTTACTGACAATAGTTAAGAAATATTAAGATCATCACTTTCTCTCATGTTATTATGGTACTTTCATTAACAGAAAACGGCAATCTATACTACTTTACTAACATCCTTTATACTTAACTATCTTTAGATGATACGTTTTGAAAGACATAGGCATAGAATATGTTACTATCAAGAAAAGAAGAAAAGAAGAAAAAGAACAAAATTTCAACAACACGTTTACGTTATAAAATAGAACTTGTACATAGTTTGAAGAAACAATAACTTCGTATATGAAACTATATAGAAACATCAGATAGAAACATTTCTCATTGTTAGTGCAAATAACGAATTCACTTTTATACACTGTTATCGTCCTGACCCCGTTAGTAAGTTGTTCGAATTATATCACAATACACAAATGATTACGTTCTAGAATATGGCAATTTCACAGCACATTAATTTAACAGAGATCTCATATAAAAATAAATAAGAATTAATTTAACGAAATGTTCGATAAATATATTAGCTGAAGTAATATATAAATATCTAAATAATATTATAATACACTAGATTTTTATATGCTAGAATAGTTACGGTTAAACGTTTCTAAAAGTCAGAAATTTTTTGTGAAATTAAACGAGATGTATATTGGAAAAAATAGTAGTAGTGGTACGAATTACGTTATACTGTTTTCTGTTAATAATAAACGGAACTTTCTAGCATGACGTTTTTTATATAAACGCATTAATAAATCATTTTATACACAGGTTTATCACCATATCGAAATTACTCATCGGTATCATAAATGTTTTCAACTATCGACCAGCAACATAATGTATATTTAGTGGAATAATCTACGGATTATCTGAAGCACAGCGTGTAAGCGATCTGCTTTGAACTCTTCTTGAAGCGTATTATGACGTGATGAGTCCTTTAATTATGTATATTGAAGCACTCGTATCGTGCTCTCTAAATGATAATTTTGCTATAAATTATATTGAAAACTAATTTAATGTCTTTGATAACTGACAACATAGTCCTATTACACTATGAGAATTGGAATGTGTTTAAATTCAATTGTAAAAGACAGATTACCTTTCTTACACACTGATCCACGTATCATTTATAAATGACGATAAATTACTTTTATACGTATTTAGTGTTCCTTAGAATCTTGCGTTCGACAAACAAAACATGACTACTAAAGCCTACATCACGGTGTAAATCTACTTCCGAGTCTCATCTATTTGAAAGTCAAGAATCACTACGTCTGAATATGTCCTATACCATATGAAATATAAAAGATGATTAATAGAATTGATTATTATCAAATTACAAATAAAATGTATCCATTTCTTCTGCAGAGTAAATATGTAAAATATTTTCACTTAGGTAATTTGTTTTTGAGCGTAAAGTTCTTCAAGCGATGGTACTTCTGGTATTGGGTCTCGCCAATATGCGAAATTACTAAATTCATCTGCAGCCTCTTCTCGCCATGCTGGGAAAAGATGGTCAACAATAAAGCTCATGTTTGAATATCTGAAAAAATAATATGAACAAATTAAATGTATCGGGTTTATCATAATACTATTATAATACTATTCTGCATATTTGCTAAAAAAACATTGGAAAACATAAAATCTGGGGTAAACGTCAAATGCATCGTTCCATTATAGGAAATAAGCTACTATATGTATCGCATTATTATACATATGCATATAATGAACAAAATTCTGCCGAAACAATTCCATTTCGTCGTGACCCTAATAATAGTTTCATCTTAGCATAAATATACATATGTATATGTGTATGTACATATATATTAGAATGGCGCTATACTTAGAAATCGAAAATTAATTTAAGCTTGCTGCTAAGGAAGAACATATGTAGTATGTTTGCAAGTATTTATATGAACTGCTTGATCAATTGATCAAAGATCTTTCTAAACAATAGCTCTTATGGATATTTTTATTTTAGTTTTCGAAATTAAAAAGCTTGAAGCTATATGATTAAATTCAGTAATGCAGAAACAATTCTTCTTTATCACTCGCTTGTAATGTTAATGAAAAAGCCTAATGTATCGACACAGTTGTCGCGCACAGTTGTATCTACACAGAACTTTGTCGTACATATGAGTAATATGTTCGAAGTACTTGGTTGAATGTTCGTGCATAAACAAAAAGAAAGTAAAAACTAGTTTACCATACACACACTGATAATACATTTAGGATTTTTATTTCGTAAAAGCTTTACGCGCATAAAACATGATTATCGTATATGATTCAAGAGAAAATTATTAATTTCAGTGAAAGTTTCATCTCATCTGTGTAACATTTAAGGTGATGAATCTACATTAAGGCAGCTGTGGATGAATGAAAATGGAAATGATAAGAAGCAATCATGTAAGAACCAGTGCTTACCCTATAAGAATCATAAGAAGATAGGTAGGAGTTCTTGCACAACCAAATACCTCAAAGCATACTAGCAATGTCAAACTAAAGAAATAAGTTAAATTTCTACTTTTAAGAGAAAATAAATAAAATAAAAAAAAAAGAAATTGCCATTGGAAAAATTTAACTGCGCTTCAACAATTTGTGGTATACATCATTATGAAAGATATATATATAACTATTATATTGAGATGTATTGTGTTATATGTAAAATATATCTTGATTCACTATAATATGAAATTTCTATGAGACTGCAAATATCACTATATTTTCTGAGGAAATCCCGAGTATAGAATAATATTCCTATTACGAGGTAGCAAATCTATATGCATTTAAAAAAAGGACCAATGGCACAAATATATTGTTTTGTATAGACCATTATCAATGGGATTAGTAGAAAAAAACAGCTACGGTTGTGCCGCCATCAGTAGGTGTTTCACATGGGCAGTGGCGGGAACAACTCATTGACGATATCGCACTGACATGCGTAACTGCAATCATAGAAATATCCGACCTATCAATATCTCTTTCTCAATAACAAATTTTCCTTTTCTGTAAAATATCTTCTCTTTTTCTTACTAACTGGATGAAATACAAATATCAAATATTTTCCATATCAAAATTATGAATAATGCTATTTAACAAATTAATCTTTATTCATTTAGGAAAAGCCTAGCGTACATACGCAATTCCTAAAAGCAATGTATGAAGATGCAACATAATATACGCATTTGTCTTTAGAATAACATGTTCAAATTATTTTGCAATTTTGTATAAAAAAAAACATAAAAATATTAATTAAATACTAATACGCTAATAAACTGATTAAAGGATTGATTACATTGAGCACTACATTAGCGTGTCTGTTTAACTACTAATACAATAATGAAAGAATATAAATTGGCAGAAAAGGCAAATACTTACGAAGATTGGAATGTTTGCGTCAATTCGTGTTTTAATTCACCTCTATGGTTTATAGTAAATATACGCATAGTTGGAATTCCTACAGCTCGATACGCCCAAACGTCCTAGAAAAAAAAAAAACAATCAAAATACAAGATATATACTATGTAATAATTCAGTAAAATATTTTGGGAAGCTATTGTAAATTAAAAGAAATATTTACATTAATTCGATTTCCGTAACCAGCATAAAATGGTTTTGAACCTTCTGGGAATAAAGCTTGAATATCACTAAGACAGGATATCTTAAATTCTTCAGGTTTTCTCTCTATAACTTCACGATGGAATGCTGAAATTAAGCTCGTTGGATTTAAAAGCAATGGCCCTTCAGGGAGTGATAAATCTCCCTGTCTAATGCTTTTCAAATATTCTCTCGTAACTTTGGCTTGTCCGATGGCCCTTGCAGAAAGATACAGCAATTTATAACCATTATTTTTGATTTTTGTAAATAACTGAGCAACACCAGATTGAGCCCAATCTTTGCCAACAATTGGCAGAATATGGCCTAATACATCAGATTTTGTAATAGTTCCATCTATATCAGAGATAACAATTTTATCGTCCCATCTCCACTTGTAAATATGACATTTACAACGTGTTGTGCCCTGATAAGCTGTAGTTACACTAAAAACTACTTCATTAGCTCCGTCTTTCAAATTAAGACTTGCCTGTAACAAGATAACAAACTCAGGATAAATACACACAC